CAGATTTTGAACATCGTCAACAAGCTAAACATCTTAATTATTGATACAACTAAGTAGGAACAATCAAGTATCGTAACTTATTTATGATATGAACAATTACAATTGTATTCTATAGAGCCACATAAACTACGCAATTATTGTACGACCACTGTGTGAAAATGTAAATTTATTCCATTTTAAACAACTTGTTTCATCGTAGATCATGGTTTTATACACTTTAACACAAAAGAAGCTCAACCTGATGGGAACCTGATTTTACTCACGTTTTCTTATACTATACCTATACCAGTATTTACGAGGTGTCTATTGAAAGTGAAATGTTAACTCATAAGTTTCTGAGAAGTAAAGTAGGTACTCATACGTAGTTACCTGGCTAGTCTATACTTGCAACCGTAACGTTTATTCTAATATTTTAATCAAACGAGGTGACATAACGCTTTACGGCCGGGAACTCTGGCTCTGCCTTGTTTTATTAAACATACTCAAAATATTAAATAATAATTATCATGCTTTTAATTTAACAAGAAGCAATGACTACAAAATGTAAAAATTGCTTAACACATATTGAAGACCTAGATGAAAAGCCTTGGCATAGTTTGATAGCTATGTGTAAAAAATCTTTAAGAATGTGACAAAAGTAAAAAATCTGGGCATTAAAATCAATAGATTTATCATGAGAATATATGACCGCCACTGCAAGCAGGTAGACGCCTGTCCTCTACCCAATATCTACAATAGTTTTACTCCAACACATCTCCACCGCCGCCCCCTTTTTATATTATTTTACAGTTACTTTACAATTTGTATAACCATGTATGCGTAGATATATTTATGAGTGATTATCTCCGAAGCATTATTCACAGCTTGGTGATGTCATTGTTGCTCTCGCTTTTACATCTATTTGACAGTATATGCGCAGTATTGCCAAACTTTACAAACGTGTCGTGTTTTGCTCAAAAATTTACTCGGTTTGCAAATGTAGACGCACAAGAGAGGTTTGAAGTACTTATTGTTCGGTTTTGTTATATTTATATACGTTTGTAATTTTTATTAGACATTTTATGCTGATGCTAAAACTGATATAGGTACTTTGAGAAGATAATTATAAAAAGAGTAGTTACTATACTTTTAAATAGTGAAAAGACTTCGAACAATTTTTGAACATCATTGAGCATTGGTAGTGAACACATCACGTACTACATGGCTGCTGATTGGCCTGAGCTAATTGAAGTCGACGTTGACATTCATTACCGATGAACAACAGCAGCTATATTTTAAACTCAATTATCAGGACATTGTAGGGTATCTACTTCATGAATTATTTGCAGTCCTGGAAGGATATTGCTTTATTTTGTCTGTCACATTTCTAATCAAAAGGTCAGAGAATATCACTGCAATCACACTTGCTCGTGTATTTTAACAACAGTGTCTACAAATATGCATTTCATTTAACTTATACTACAAGAACTGGCATGTTATGTCCGTACAAGTATTAACTAATGTGCCTTTGTTACCACAGGTGACACTCGAGAAGCATATTAACTATGGTATTCGTTACGCAAAGCTACTGTTGAATCATTGCAAGTGTAACTGAATGATGTTTGAACACTCCCATATTGTGCGACGAACGTACCTTAAACCATTGATTAGTAGTTATATCAATGCCTTAAACTAATACAATTATGAAGCACCTACTTAGAATCTTTACCGATTAGTGTTGGCGACACGACAATTTTATCTGGCTGGTACAGATAATAATATCAATAAATTATTCATTATTTGTTCATGAAATCGCTGATCCTTTTTATTACATGTCCTTATGAAATCCATTGCAATGTTATTAGCACAAATGTGTACCTATCCAACTGCAATAAAGTACGAGTCTATCTCGTCTCGAAGGACCAACATGTGAACATAGCATGAGTTAATTATGAATTGGTACATTGTGAGTAGCAAATGACAATAACAGCTGTCCTGTTATGGTCCAGAGGGTACGAAGAATGCGTTTCTATTTCATTTAGACAGTAGGTGCAATAACGGTACGTTTTGTCATGTGGTCCAGTCCCTCCGCAGTAAATATTAAAAACATACTGTAGGCAGGTAAATTGTAGAGACGCAATCAAATGTACATTATGGTTTTTTGCTGTATTTATTTTGCTCTCAACATCTAAATCACTCTTCAAATATTAAACATGTTTTAGTTCTGACTTCCGTTAGCACTAGATTGTAATGCGGTTAAAACATGATTGTACATGTACCTACCTTCAACCTACACTACATACATAACAGTAAATCAGAGGGCTATATTTAGCTACTTACATATTTTCAGTACATTTTAAGTCACAAAATGAAGAGAGAGAGTCGTTTTTACATGTCAAACTCTAAAGTTATATATATGTACCTAATTGGTATTATGTTCTAAGAGTCTGCTAGTACTCTTGTCATGACTGTCGAAACCCGCAATATCTATAATCTATCAAATATGGAGTCGAGGTCTTAGAAGGTAAGGACCTCAAATCTTGTGACAAGGTGAGAAGTGAGGACGCAAGGTGCGTTGGTGGGCTCTGGCAATTGTTGTGGGCGAGTCACTTCGTCACGAACCGGTGACTCATGTTTAGCAAATTAAACGTTATTCCCATCACACCCATAACCCCTTCATTTACCGTTTTCGTTCAAGCATAATGTTATTTTATATTAATATCAAAATCCATTTACAGATCTATTGTAATAATCTAACGACCAGAAAAATATGATATTAGTTATCAGTGCCCAGATTATATATTTTGAGATCGGAATGTTTTATCCAAATAAGCTGATTTTTGTTTATTCAAAATATTCCAATGAAATTCTTATCAAGATGCTATTTCTGTAACATTTTTAGTAGACTATAAATAACTATAGCAACGCTTTTTTCAAATCTGATGGTTTCTTAGAGTTACAGCATCATCAAATAAAGTTCTTATTCAGCTCTATTATCTTAGTAAAGGTACCTGTTTGTTTCCATGTCTAGCTATATGTTTTGTTATACAATAAAAGATTCATTTAAATTTCAAGTGTAGGTTTGAAGAACCTTTTATATATAATAAAAATATATTTATGTATAACTAGCTTCTGGCCGCGACTTCGTACGCGCAATCCCGATATTTCCCGTTCCCGTTCTTGATTTTCGGTAAAAAGTAAAAAAAAAGAATTGGGTAAAAAGTATCCTATGTCCGTCTCCTGGTTCTAAGCTACCTCCCCACCAATTTTCATCCAAATCTATTCTGCCGTTCTTGAGTTATAAGTGGTGTAACTAACACGACTTTCTTTTATATATATAGATAAAAGGTTCTTCACTTGACTGTATATGTGCAAACCTTCAGTGAAAATTCAACGAACCATCATTTGAATTGCATCAAAAACATTAACTTCAAAACAGAATTGCTGTAGCAAATTCTAGTGTAGCTCTAATATTCAGTATATACAAACGTCTGTTAGGGATCAGTGTACACAAGTACCTACTTCATTAACATATTCACAATGTAACACAAATAAAAGCTTGTAAAAATGAGTGACAAAACTGTAAGCGTTGTACAAACTGTATGTAGATAATTTGTTTTCTTTGCTGATAAGGTAATGGCAGCGTTGAAAATGAATTGTCTCTTATCTGCCGCTCGAATTCTTCGTCAAATATTTTTAGATTACACAGACACTGCCAGCGTCCTTTACTGTACTTAAATGTAAACAAATATGTATTTGAAAAAATCCGGTATACGTCACTCACATTTTAATTTTTCGGATGTTGAGGACATGAAACCAGGACACTAGAAGAAGAAAGAAATATGGTCTATTAAATAAAAATCATTGCGAGATGAAAAGTAAAAGTCACGGTACGACAGGTGCATGCTTATTGCATGATCTTAGAAGCCACATAAGTGAACGAAACGCACATACGTGCAGTTACAATGGTAAACCACTACCAACGTATGTTATTACTCGATTTATTCTATTCACAAGCAGTTTAAATGAATAATATTGTGTTCTTTCAGTCAATCTACATAGATACACGTTAATAATACGTAATACGTTCTCTGTTATAAACTTTTACTATATTGGCAGCTGCTAAATTGTACATAACATGTGTGCACAAGTTGTCTTTTATAATTGTTGCAAGATTATACTTCCCAAGTGATAATCTTATTCAGTACGAGTTTTTGTGTTGTAGTTCTTGGAAAATTGAAGTTGAAGTTATTTCGACTCGGCACTACAGACGCCAGCAGCATACAAATGACTGGTTCCTATAGTTTGTTATGCATACCTTGTAAGTCCTGCCTTTCTCGTGATCACCCTATCCTGTTTCTTGATTATTCTCAGATAGAATTAAAACTCTACCTACCTCATGTGACATTTAACGCCAGTAGATAGATACTTATTACTCACTTATTCTTCCATTGTCACTTCGATCAATTCCACTTGAATTAATAAATGCAACTGTAATACAATGCTAGTAAATGTATAGATTTGTGGTCTTGGCAGGCGACGGGAAAATTTCTCTTTTGTAGGTATACTTAGTTCTCCTTGGTATTGTGTTGTGATAGGCGCGGACAGTTCATAACAATAGACTCTCGACATAATGGGGCCATTGATTGTGTGGATGTATCATGAATGTGTGAGTAGTATTTGTACTGATCTTGCTGGTACCTATTTTGTATCAAGTTTGTCTTTCAAATCATATAGGACAAATCATACTGTTTCTCTCACGCTTTTATTGTTCATTGACCTATGACGAGGAACTTATGAGGATTTATTCCATTACGCGTCTGCTTTCAACATTTTGTGCTACGTCTTTTCACAAATGAATGTCCTAAGTTAACAACATCAATTCATAGTTGAAATAGTCATACGTGATCTATTACACCAACCTTTATATTTATTAAACATACACCCAAACTAATTACATGATAATTAAAAATAATTAATTATTTCACTAGTTAATTTTGTAAAAAAATATGTTGTTGCAGCAAAGAAACAAAATGGTTCAGCGGTACGCACGAACAGCCTGGGGTCGGGCGCGCGCACGCCTCCGGCTGAACGGTCCAAATCCAAATTCTCAGCTTTTGGTAGACTATTCAAGCCATGGAAATGGAAACGGAAAAAGAAGTCTGAAAAATTCGAAGCTGCTTCTAGAAGTAAGTACCTGTGCACCTGCTAACAATATCCTATCTTAGCATAAGACTACATGGGGCGATAAAAGGCCTTCACGATAACCGGAACCGGACGTGATTCACGAAGCTGTGGAATTTAAATACATACTTTTTTGTTTTATCGATATAAACAATAACTCTCTATTGCTGTCGTTTATGAAATTATCTGATATAGCTGCTATCTTGAGTCCAACTTCGGAACAACTGTGACAAACTATGTACGTACCTATAAAGGAGATCTCGTCATTACTGACGAATCCCGGTATCAGATAACCCATTTGCCTTCAATCTTTTTCGTGAACTGATTAGACTTGAGATAGTTACTATATTTTATTATCATTTTACGTTTGAAGTACTGTTTATAAGGTTAAATACATGTGCATTGTTACCTTTTGCAGCATTAGAGAGGAAGATATCCGTCCGAGCGAATAGAGATGAGTTGGTGCAGAAAGGTATTCTCTTACCGGAGAGCCCCGTCACGCCTGTGCCCGAAGTCGGTGAGTATTCAGAACACTAGTTCGTACTAGATAATTATACGTACATAGTAAAAAACCTACACAATTAAAGCAAATTTTGGACACGAAGGTGCATGGGATTTGGCTTAATTAAAGTTAATAGAGTTGGACAGGAAAATAAAAGTTGTGTATCATCATTAAGAATATTCAAGTTGCTTGCTACCTCACTAACTTTACATAGGTTAGGTAACAAATGACAGCACAATCTACTAGAGTTACGGAGTAAGGTCCATGACAATCTGTATGCGGGTACCTAACCTATGACAATATACCTAGGTATACAACGCACGCATCCCGTACTCTGAGTACGGGACAACTTACATCTTTTTGGAAGGTCGACAACCAACTAGTCACTAAATCTGGAGTCCTCTCGTGTTGCGAGTGTCCATGGGCGGCACACGTCGCTTACCATTAGGCAGTCTGTTTGCTCGTTTACTTCCCATCCTGTACAAAATTCTGATAATAATTATCCAAAATTTTAAATATTATGCAGAAGAGTGGATACTCTTACTTATACGGGAGCAATGAAAGTCTTGAGGTTATGATGATGATCAATCAAACCCGAGCTAGTGTGTTATAATGCATTTTCTTAACACTACCCGATGTTTCTTTACATTTTTTTATATAATCCAAAGTAATCGATTACCTAATTACTATTAATAGTTTACATATTTAGTAGATAAACAAACGTTATCTGTCCGCCGATTAGGTATTAGTGCGTAGGAATTTATCAGTAGGTATCAATATTAATGCCAGTTGTAATACAGGATAATGAATTATAATGATTGTCGTAAGTATGGTATCTTTATATTAGTTTTCCTTGTCATTATTGTTGTAAGAAATTCCCACCACTTACTAAGGAAAACCAAATATTAAGTGTATAGTGTTGTCATCTCACAATAATCAACATAATAACTGGTTTTGAGTTAGATCAGATACATACGAGCGTTGTCTACGTCCAGGTTGTGTACGTCGTACAGGTCTAGGTCCGAGGTCCAACCAAAATGGTCTTAAGATCTTTATCGAGGCTTTTTGAAGTCTCTGATGTGATGACTAAACATTTACTTCCATTAAATCTATTTCTATATGAATGACTAGGAAGTGATAATGACTTTAGTATTGGAATACCAAAGTCCTTTTGACAGAAAAGTTACAGGATTTCCATGAAATAAATTAAGGCTTATAATTATACTTAATCGGCATTAAAATATATTACATTCAAAATTTAATAATAGTTGTTTAACCTAACGGTAGTTGCATTAAATAACAGTAGATAATAATTATGTTTAATTAGTGTAACATTTGGAGCCAGGTACCGTACAAAACAGTAGAGCTCAAAATACGGAGTTGTCCAAAGTAAATAAATACTGTATAAACAATGAGATAGCATGTAATTACTGTAACACTTATATCTGTGCCCGACGATATTGTGCTTAGCATACCACTTAACTTCCGTGTGTTTAGGCACTAATCACTTATCGTTATCATTATGTACCTATCGATTTCCTTCAACACTGCAGTGCTGTATCACGTAGTTTCATTCGGAATCAAATCAAAGTCAAAGTTAAAGTATTTATTTCAATTAATGCGTTATTAGAAACTTTTGAAACGGAAACAAAATTTTAATTTCGTTGGTCTATCTGTCAGTGAAGCTAGGCGCTCGTTCCTAAATGTAGTTTCGTATGGAAAAAGAATGAGCAAGAAAATCCATCAGTACTCTTTAAAAAAAAATGAATCAGACCCGTATAGTGCCAATAGTGAGAATCCAATTCAATACGTGACCGGTTCGTTAACATTCGAATGTAGACAGCCCATTCTTGGATCATTCATGGAAGCAAGGACTTTACAATACAAATCCAATTACAAACGTGGTCCATCGAGTTGGGCCCCATAGACGAAAGATTTTTTCTATCGGCTCATAAACATAAGGTCAAATATGGTACCCAAGTTTTTAATGGACCGTTGCTTAAACAGTAGAACAATGTTCCCTTAACAAAGAAAGTTTTTTGCTACAACCTTGTTTCCTAGAAGATTTGTGTTGCAATACTAATAAATTATTTGTTTTAGATGAACCTGTATCGCCCCCGACGGGTGCTGAGGAGGCGCGGAGTGATGTCAGCGCTGCGCAGGCGAACCAAGACAGGCTCATGGGCATGCACGCCGCCCTGCAGGCACAGCTGGCATCGCAGCTGCAGCAGCAACAAGCTGCTATGGCTGCAGCGGTGGCCGCCGCCGCTGCCGCGCACCACCACCATCAAAACAACAATGTCATAGGTCAGTACCGAAATGCTTTTAACTTTTAAGCCGTACTAACTCAGTCTTTATGGCAACCTAGTCTATTTTTAAGAACTCCTGCCATAGTAGAAAATAATGTTGACAGGTTTTATTCATACAGGAGACTAAAATTAGGTTTGAACTAATTTCGAATAAACGCACGTTATATATTTTTTAAGATAAAGTAAGAAAGACTGCGACAAAGTCATATCTTGCAAATTGTTTTTCTAAACTGCACCATACCAAAATCTTACAGTTTATGCGAGGAGATATGATGACGTTTTTGTTACTGTGCAACTTCATGCTTTCTAGGCTCATTTTCTATTAACTGTTGAAAGTTTCTCCAAAAGTGCTGAGTTGGATAATTCTGATGGTTCTTTAAACTTATTCATAGCTTTTCGAAAATTTGATATTTTTAATTAAAAAATATTTAATCTTTGGAAACTGATCGCAAAAAATATTAGACTTCAATATAAACAGAGAAAACTTACCAATTTTTTATATGAATCAAGCTATTAATGTTCATGAATGAACGGAATTACAAATGGTGTCCGAGTTGTGTATGTTAGACGGCTCGATCAAGGCAAATCAATAGATAAAAATATCACGCAATAGTGAATAGTTTGTGCGTTAACCATACGCGTTTTCCTCCTACATTGTGGTGATTTTTCCTTGTTTATGCGTATTACTTAGTGTTTCTTAATAGTATTGTATGTAATGACAGTATGTCAATAGTGAAGATTTGACCGCATACCTTACGTAAATTCCTTACAGATAAAAATTTAAATCCTGGGCCAAAAGGTTTAAAATTCTAATTATATTTGTTTTATAAAAATATTTCAATTAGTTTTCTGCTGTTCTTTATTATAATTGCTATGATAATTTTATAAAATTTTTGCTTAACCTACCGTCAAATAATGTCAACCAGGTACTTAATTTAATTCTATGCAAAATAAATACGACGCCAAAGAATTATGTCATTTTTTATTTGCATATTCGACGAGTGACAAATTAGCATTTTGCCATCTTTTAGTTTCTCCTGTGTAGAGCTCATTTAATACGTAGCGGGCTATGCAAAGCTTATTCAATATTGTCCTACTTGATAATTTGAGATACGAGGCTAGGCAAATTTACTCACGGTACACCACATGAATGAAAAGGTCATGCGTATCAGAATAACATAGATAACAGAATTTATAAATCATAAAAAAACTAATTTACTCGACATAATTTATTTTTCAATTTACAATAATACTGCTTTTGAATTAGCCCAAAATATTCACATTAATTGGTTTTAGCTTGACAATTTCTTAATTTTCCTCTTATGTCTTTTATTTTAACCTAGTCCAGGCACATGCCATGTCATAGCAATAATAATATAGAATTAAGACAAAAATAGAAATTCCTGTTTATATTGTTTGGAAAAAAATTTGATTATTTATTTATTTTTAACTTTCTAATGCAAGTGTACATTTACAAATTATGTCAGTTTACAATAAGGACGGTGAATCACAATTCTGAGAGGTACCTATAGATGAAATAATGTATTATTGAAAAAAAAAACAAATTCTTAATTGATTTAGGGTCAGCATTAAATCTCAAGCAGATTCCACCAGGCATTAATTTTACACGAAAAACTGTTTTAGGTCTAATAAGTATTTTGTGAACTGAGGTTTGAAGCCTGTACTACAAAGTTTGCGATAGCACGGATACACAACTAAGAACAGTTAAGAAGCAATACTCAAGTTTCTGTCACTAGCAAATTACCAACTTTAAAGCTTTTCCTCTAATGAGTTTACTAGTCGTACAGACTCGCTATCATCTCTAAGAGAGCAATGGTCAGCATGTATTCGTTAAACATTATCCGTATTTTCGTCTATTACACATCTGGCTAATTCGTGACTGTTGTGATTATTATTAGCTGCTCCACATTTGTATCAATAAAACTTTAAATTCGTTCACCAATCTTTACAATGTTTTGCTCCACGCGCTTCGTACTCAACCCAATAGCGTGTAGGAATTGGTCATAGATCTCTTTTCATTTCACCAATTTATTTATTCGTTCTGAGTCATAAATTCGTGGTAGGTAAAAAAATATTATAATAATTTCCCATTCAACATTTATTGAATCAAAAGGTTTTCCATTTGAGTTATTGTTTTCAACAAATACCTAGTTACGTACTATTATAAGTATCAATTGTTTCTAAGAGGATTGTATCTGTATCTATAGATATTGGCAAAGATTCACTGATTGGAAGTAATTGATCACATAGTATAATATGAACACTTGTGAGATCCCATTACAATAGGCTTGATTCATTTTTTTTTTCAATTGTAATATACTTACTGGGTGGTTCCATTGAGCGTATATAATTATTATAATGTCATTTCAATTAATGTACTTAAAACTTTGAATCTGATTGAATTTAATTGGAGAATAGGTAGTGACGCGTGGCGGGAATTAACGACATCCTGACAGGACGAGCGTCGAACGTTGACCCACCACAAGCTGTCTAGTTGACATAGAGCCACCGCAATAATGTGACGTCATTATACCTGATATCAGATATATATATATAATATAATAGAATGCCTAATGCGTGTATTTCATCACGTTAAACTTAAAAGCTCACACTTCTATTAATCAGAACTTTGGCTAATTCATTACTTGTTTATTAGTATTGTTCTAACCTAATTTCGAATTCGCACGAGAAAGTATTTGCGGCACTTTTATTAAACTGAACTAAATCCAGTTGGCAAAAATCGCACATTCTATTTTCTATTTCTGCTACTTCTCAGTCAATAGCATAATAATTTACTTCCCTTCTTTCTTCCTGTAATCTAGCTGTTTTGTCACTTGACACAAAAGAGTAGTAAACAAGACATTGCGCTACAATAAGTCAAACTAGAGCTATTGAGATTACAAAACTAAGACAAATGGGTGCTCTACTTTACAAATGGACATGTTACATAACTCATTATAAATTATGAAATCCTCTGCGGTTCTGTCAGCGTTAAATGGGTCGGTCGGCTAAAATTGAAATACGCATGTTCAGTGTCTCGACGTCTAGGTGTCATGGAATTGTGAAGCAGCGAGGCAGTAGTCGAAGTCTAGATTGTGGAGCCGGTGACTGGGGGTTGGGTACCGACCTGCCGGCTGTAGGGCATGTGCGCGGGGTGCGGTTGTGCGGCGCGCGCCTCAGTGTCGGTCCGCCCGCGCCCGCGCCCGCCCGCGCCGCCGGCCCGCGACCTGCCACAAACCGACCCTCGCGTCCGCCTCTCCTAACCTCACTCGGTTACCTGCCCACATAGATATACCACCTGTCAAATCACCGGGATCCAAACCGGCATTCTTTGCTTTTTTATCTCAACCACCCTTTGTTGAGATCATTGTAATAACCCAATGACTCTACATATGAATCGGAGATGTAAAGAAAGCTTTAAAAGCTTTAGAAGGTGCAGTGTGCTTTGTTTTTAATTGGTAGCATAGGTCTAAAATATTTTTTTTTACTTGGGGACCTCATGTATAAACCTATATAAGTATACGAACCAAAAAGTTTTGTCGTAAATATATATTAATACAGTGCGATTATTCTGATGTAAGCTTTCCTGCTCGTTCTAATTGCAACAATATTAACTGCAAGTAAATTAACCGTGCTGTTTCATTACCATCATGATATTATAGTATTAATACTACTTACAATTGCTGCATATAGATAATGTGCAACAATATATGACCCTACATTCAGCTCTCCTTCAGCTCCGGAAATAAATGTGTGGTTTATTTTTATTTGCATCTTGCATCAGACCATTACAGAGCTTTATTGTTAATGTGTCAAAGAATTAAAATTTACAGAAGCTTTAATTTTAGTACTTATAATAAAAGTATTAATTTTAGACTTTTGCTAATTGACGTAAATAAACTATTACCGAATATTAAAGTTGCTGAAGTTGCAATAATATCCTGAATAGGAGTTCAGTACACTATAATTAAGCTTTTAACCGAGTATTGTATGTTGGTGCAAGTATTGATTGGAGGGTTTTTTCGTAAGGCTAGACATATGTTTTAGTTATGGTCGGTGGTTAGGTCTGAGGCGCGAACTTTGCGTGCGGTATCGATCGGCTCGGCCGCCAGCACGCGATCGCAACCGCTGCACCGACATCGTTGCCCCGTTGCCCCGCGACGCTTGCATGACATGTGCTGCTGAACACTGACAATATCAAATATTCAAACCAATTATTTGAAATTGCCGTTCAGTCATGATGCCCTCAATACCTGTTGTAGGTACACCTTTACCATTCCGCATTGCGCACAATTTGTGTTCCTTTGTCCAAGCCTTTCCAGTATTGCAGTTGCAATTACAAAAAGTGCAATCAGTCAGCTAGTTGTTCTAAAACTTATAGAGTCATCTATTTGATCATTTTGCAGTGTTAACTGAAGGTGTTAATAAAATAAATGTTATGTAATTTGATATTAAAACAATGCCCAAAAAATTTGGGAATAATACTGGTTACATTTTATGGTTGACCATTAAAATGTCTTGATGGGATGTAATGTAGTAAGAATGTGTGGGCCGGGGAGGGTTAAGTGTGGTGGGTAATAGCTGGCGCGGTGTCGCGAGCGCCACCGCGCGGCAGGCGCGTGCCGCCGCCACCTCCGCCGCCGCCGCCGCCGCCACCACCGCCGGCGCAGCGCCTTTCTATGATGGGCTTCATCATGGGATGTGCCTGCTTGAGAGGTTCGTAGCTTTAGCTCGTACACTCATCAGCTTTTGGTAACAACACCGTTTTTGTTAAGACCATGATACAGAGTTTGAACAACTACGTTGCTTTCTGCACTTTGAATAGCAATGAACTTTAGAGGGTAGAATGTCACTAAATGACTGCTAGATGGTAGTGTCAGACTCTTACTGACTACAAACTACCTCGTTTTCAACTCCTGCTTCGGACCGTAACCCCGGTAAACCACAAGGTTGTTCGCAGCCCCAGCCAATAGCGTT